TCGCCAAAGATTTCCGTTATGGAGCCTGTCTCGATGCCGCCTGCCAGAAGTGTGTCCAGTTGTTTTGAACCGGTCGTGATGGAGATCAATTCGCTGCGGCGGGAGTGCATCTCGGTAGCCGTGGTGAAGCCCATAGGGACGAGTTTGGATGCTATCGAAGTAAGCAACAAGAAATAGAGCAACGTCGTGGCTGCATACCCTCTGCAAGCAACTTTGAAGCCTTTTGTTCCGAGATTCCCTTTATTTGTTCGAGGGCTCGCCGTGGTCTGCCTGGCGTTAGTGGCGGGGCCAATATCCTGTTCAATGGTCTACATACGTGTAGGCAATCGACTCTACGGTGTTGAAGCCGCCCTCCACAATCAACTTGATGTCGCGTGCAGTCAATCCGTTGACTCCCTGAGGTCTAGTCAGTGTCTGTCGCGCGCCCAAAGACCGAGAAAGCCTACCTCAAGCGCAGACACGGGAGTGGGGGCTCCGGGGCCACCCATGGTGCTATCCTCGAATTGCTCTTCTTCGGCGCTCATCTTGACGGATTAAAGACGGTAAGGGTTATGGAGAGGTGGTGATGTGAGATTTGCGAGTGTGCTGTGCAGAAGAGAAGGATGGGTGGCGAGCGGGAATCTAGATCAGACGCGTCAAGTAAGCGCGAAACGCGAAATCACATGATAAATCGTCACGCAGCCCTGCATCAGGCTCCAACGCTCATTCCCGACTTTACTCCGCAACACCACACACAGTTCACGCATTAAACACCCCAAGATGATATACTGTCATATTGATTTGTTCATTTCTTCAAGAGATTCATGGTATCATTGTACATAAAGCCATCTTCCGCCTCAAAAGACCTACTCGTCATCGCCAAAGAAGACCTTGACCGGCAGCCAAGAGTCACCGCAGACCTTGAAGCGCTCAGGCAGCGCGTTGATCTCCTTCATCTCCTCGTCCGTCAGCTCCCAGCCATCAAGCTGGAAGTTACCCATGATGCGGGACGCTGTGACAGACTTGGGGATGACGCTGGAGCCGCGCTGGAGACCCCACATGAGCAGAACTTGTTGAACGGACTTGCCCTTGTTGTCGGCGAGCTTCTTGAGCTTCTCGTTCTTGTACAGGGGAGAGTCGGTTGAGCCGAGGCAGGAGTAGGCGGTGGCGTGGATGCCCTTCTCCTTGAGGTAGTCGAGGAGCTTGGGTCTGGCGTCACTGTTAATTTACGTGCGCATGGGTAAGCTGTTGGTGATTTGACTTACGAGGGGTTGTTGGGGTGGAGTTCGATCTGGTTGACGGCGGGTGTGATCTTGGTGCGCGAGTCGGCGAACAGCTTCTCGAGGTTCTGGATGGCGAAGTTGGAGACACCAATGTTCTTCACGCGGCCAGACTCGGGGAGCTTCTGCATCTCAGCCCATGTGTCCTTGAAGTCCCAGTCGGGGTAGTGCTTCTTGAGGTCATCGGGGTCGGTCGATGAGGGCCAGTGCTGGGAGGTTCGTAAGCATTTCGTCTTATGAGAAATTGAACTTCCACAAACATACCATGAGGTAAAGGTCAACGTAGTCAAGACCGAGGTCCTTCAGAGAGGTGTTGATGCCCTCTTCGACGCGCTTGTGCCATGGGTTGTCAAGCTTGGTAGTAACCCAGATCTGCTCACGGGGAACACCAGAGTCCTTGATACCCTGGCCGACCTCCTTCTCGTTGCCATAAGCAAGCGCGGTGTCGATGTGGCGGTATCCTCCCTCGAGAGCGGCCTTGACGGCCTCACGAACCTCACCAGGCTTTGATTGCCATGTGCCGAGACCGACAGCGGGGATCTTTGCGCCAGTGTTGAGCGTGAAGTGCTCCTTAGTCCAGTTCTTGGGTGCCATTCTTGCTAGAGTACGAATCATAAATTGAAAGGTAAAGTTTGGGATGTAGAAGGATGGGAAAGTGGCAGGAAGCGCAAACTTTTGAATGGTGAGCTGAGCGAGGGGCACAGCCGACGCGTTGTGTACCCCTCCTACGTCAGGGCCAACATTCACCCATTGCATCGCTATCTCCACCGAGCAACTTTAAGCACCGGCATAAAACCTCCACGTATCAGGTCGCGATTTGCCCGCGGGTGAGGTTAAACTGGTGGGGCGTGGAGAACGATCCACCTGTCGCTAGTGCCTATGAGGAAGCCGGAACAGTTTCTACTTCTTTCCCTTTCTGCCGTTCAACTCCTGCATCCACTGCACCGTCCTCAGCATCCTGCGCTAGCCGTATAAGTGTGGACCGCAATGTCTTCAGGATTCGTCAGTGGCGGCAAAGCGGGTGAAGAAGTCGAGCGCGATGACGAATGGAAAAAGGCCCAGCAAGAGATTGAGGATGCCCGGCGCGCCAAAGCCGACTTAGCGAAACAACAGGATGGAAAAAGTCTTTTCGAAGTTTTGCAAGCCAACAAAGACAAGAAACAGGCCGAGTTTGAGGAAAAGGCGCGTTACAAGCTGCATGTTGCTCTAGATGATGAAGAAGCCGATTACCTGGATTCCGTCTTGGAAAAGAAGCGTCAGGAGGAGCTCAATGTGAAGAAGGAGACTTTCGAACAACTGGATATATTCCGCAGGCAGAGGGAAGAAGCCGAGAGGAAGGCGAAAGGTCTTGAAGAAGAGAGTTCAGAGGCGCCCAAAGATGAGGATGCTCCGCAGTGGGCAGCAGTTGGGCGAAAGAGGAAGAAGGTGGCTGAAGGTGGTCTGTTGAAGGGTGTGAAGCTGAGGAAGTCGAGTTCCGTACCTGAGGAGAAGAAATCTGTGGACGAAGGAAAGGCGACCGCACAGTCTGAGAGCGTCAAGACAAACGCGTCATCTACTGCAACGAGTGCCAACGGCTCGAAGAGTCCTGCGACAACGTCCGTAAACACAACCAAGCCACCAGCAGGGCAATCGACATCCAAACCGGGAAACACACTTTCGCTCGGCCTGGGATATGCATCATCAGACGACGAGGACTGAGTCGTCTCAGCACCCGACAGCCACCTTTCAAGGGCAGCGCATACAGCTCGAACAAGCGCAATCGTGGATATGACACTTGCAACGCCGGCCCGATATGATAGTAGTTGCGCTTGCGCAGGTACACATACATGCGATCTGGCAAGCCTGTACCTAGCCGATACCGACATAGCCAACAAGCCGCCTTGAACCTATTGGTACCAGGGAGCTACATACGGGGGACATCTACTTCGACACACGTACGAGGACGGGCTCTTCTGCGAGAAGACGAAGGACATCGCAGGACGCGACTTGCTGATGATGTCATTGGCTGGCGCTCGGCGGCGCTTACCTGTTTGTAGCGCCGTACAACGACCGCATTTTCCATCAAAAGTAACTATCAAACAACATACCATCTATCTCGAGTTAACACTCACCTCAAGACTACTCCCATCCGCATTGAACCAAGAATGAACTCGTGATAAGCTGACACTAACCGCCTCTCCTTCCAAGTAACGCGTCCCGAACGCGCAACGTAGCAACAAAAATGGCCCATCAACCCGCCGACCACGAGACCTCTCCCCTCATCGTCGTCACCAGACCCACTGGCCACTCTGAAGAAACCGAAAATGCAAACGACAGTACCATGGACATGCGGCTCATTTTCAAAATCGCGGCGGCCATGTACTCCTTCGTCACACTCGGCCTATTTAACTCCTCCATCGGCGCCGTCCTTCCCCTCCTCTCACGCCACTACAACCTCACAGATCTGCAAGTCTCATCCATCTTCCTCGTCAGCCCTATCGGCTATGTGATCGCAGCCCAATGCAGCGATACCGTCCATTACCGCTTCGGGCAAAGGGGAATTGCAGTAGCTGGTCCGCTACTGCAAATCTTGGCTACGGCGACTGCGGCGACGCATCCTAGTTTTGGTCTTTTATTGCTTGCGTTTACGTTCCAAGGACTGGGTACGGGTCTACTAGATGGGAGTTGGTGTGCGTGGGCCGGGAGTATGGAGAAGGCGAATACGGTTTCTGGCCTGTTGCATGGGAGTTATAGTGTTGGTGGTGCGCTGGGGCCGTTTTTTATTACGGTTTTGAGTACTAGGGGGTTTATGTGGTGGACTTGGTATTCTATTTTGGTAAGTCGGAGAAGACTAGACGTGGGGTTTTATGCTGATGATTATAGGCTGGAGCATGCGCTCTCTCATTCCTGGTCTTGGTCATTGCTTTCCGTAACGAGACTGCATCGGTCTATCGCGAAAGCAACCAGTCCAAGTCTCAGGACTCTAAAGTCGACGTCAAGGCTGTGTTCAAGTATCGAGCGACTTGGTTCTGTGCAGCGTACTTCCTCACCTACGTTGGCATTGAGACGGCAATATCGGGTTGGATCGTCTCATTCATGCTGCGCAGCCGCCACTCTACCGCTTATGTCGCTGGTCTCTCTTCCTCGGGGTACTGGATTGGCATGGCAGTTGGACGACTGACTCTGGGTTTCGCTACGGATAATATGGGAGTGCGTCGCGCGACTGGTCTTTACTTCCTCATCGCTATCGGTATCGACGTACTCTTCGCTGCTCTATCATCTGCGGCCGCATCTGTGGCTTTGATGACGACGTTGGGTTTTATCATGGGTCCAATGTTTCCGTCTGGCGTTGTTGTACTTACACGATTGCTACCAGCTGAGCTACATGTTGCAGCTGTGTCTTTTGTGGCCTCTCTTGGGCAGGTTGGAGCTGCACTCTCGCCTTTTGCTATCGGCGCTGTTATTGATGGCTTGGGTATTGGTGTTTTCAGGTTCGCGATACTTGCTGAGACGGTGGTGGCTTTGCTGGTTTGGTTCGCTTTTGCAAGACTGCGTCCGGTTTCGCAAAACGTATCTACGATGCGCCACGAGGACTGAGAGAGCGATTGCAAGCTCTTATAAATTTGCAAAGCTACTACTGCATTCGATCTCAATATGATTGCAAGCTGCTGTCTTTGACAACGTTGAAGAATTACGTTTCGAGCGTAGATCGAGGTCATAGTACGGCGAGCTCGGGGTCCCATCTGATGGGGCGGTCTCAAGATGCAGTGGGCTGCGTTGGGGGTAGCCCGGTCGTGACTTCCTCAGCACAAGAAGCTAGCAGTCCACGTGGAAAACGCACTATGATGGAAGGAAGGATCAATGGGAGAATTTGACAGATACACTAAACCCGATTTCCACGAAACCGTACGGTCGTCGCACTCGCAAAATTCCTGTTCTTTTCCGTAACTAACTTTTGCTCTTTTGGACGTAAAAAACTTCGACAAGAAGCAGAAGAAGCGTCTCCCAGCTGCCGCTAACTCCGCCGCCGACGACGATGCGCCGCTTTTATCGGATGACGAGATTGAGCCCTCCGACACCCTCGACGATGTCAAGTCCAAGATCCAGGACAAGGAGGAGTTTCCTCTGGACCAGCAGTACCAACAGTAGCAGCAGTAGCAGAATTAGAAAGAGGAGAAACCCCCGACCGTCTTAATTGAAGGTGATGATCTGTCTAATGATCGCGGAGGTTCGAATTTTCTGTCACATGAAGGCGGGGAGCCCTTCTACCACGGTCCACAAGGAAATAACTAACCACTTCTGCAGACTACGTTGAGATAAAACCATGCAAATTAGGTAGCCTAAAGTCAATGTAGGCTCTAGAGTGTTTAGCTTTTTCTAGGTTAACCTAAGCACAAGCAAGGTTTTAGGTTATTATTAGTGTTATATAAGGCCTTATTACGTAAACACTTTATAAAAAAAAATATAATACTTCTTTACTTTAAATTATTAGTACTCTTTTACTTTTTTTTTATACTAACTTAAATTAAAATAGTAGTAGTAAGTAGTTAAAGCTTACTATATAGTAAAGCTTAAAAAGTACTAGTATAATATTTTTAAGCGCGTAATAAATATAATAATATAATTAAATACGCTAAACTTCTTTACTATAGCTTTTACTACTTTTATTTTAAAGTCTATATTAACTAAGTATCTCTTTAAAAAGGTATGCGTATATATAGTATACTTTTTAATTCTAAGTGCTTATTCTTTAAGTTTATTTTTATTATATAATAATTATTATTAGATAGACGCTGCTATATACTAATAAGTTAAAAACTAGGCAGCTGTAGTAAGTGTACAGTCGCAGGCAAGGTAGTACAAGAAAGGAATTCTAGGAGGACTAACAGCAAAGTAGACTTCTTAGTGGTTTCCCACGCTGCAGCTAGATAGGATTCTTTTTAAAGTGAAAGACAAATGAGCCATAAACGCCATCTATACCAGATTCCACACGCACTTACTGCGCCTTCATAAACCTGACCATCATCGGCGGCGCACCCGCAGTGAAGTGATCCAGAATACCCTCCCAGTAAGCATTCACATCCGTCCCCTCATCAAGCACGACATCAAACTCCGCCACGACCCTGCCAATCACACTCCTCAACTCCATCAACGACAGAGCCTTCCCAGCACAGCTATGCGAACCTGTTGAGAAAGGAATGAATGCCTGCCTGTTCAGTACCAACTCCGGCTTCGTAGTCCAGCGCTCAGGTATGAACTGATCAGGTGCAACAAAGTTTCTCGCGTCGCGCAACAGCGGGAAGATAGGGATATGTACTATCATGTTTCCTGGGATGAAGTGCCCGTTTATCTCCATACCTTGTGGTGGTGTGATGCGTTGGGAGCCGAAGAAGACGGAAGGCCACATGCGCATCGATTCTTGGATACAAGCTTCTAGCATCGGCATGGGTCGCTGGCAGTCGTAGGTGTTGATGTTGGAGAGGAACTCGGCGCGGACGGCGGCCATGTAGTGTGGGTGTGTGGCGAGATGCATGAAGAGGAAGGTTAGGGCCGTGGACGTGGTCTCGCTGCCAGCGGAGATTATGAGGCGTGATTCGCCGTAGAGAAGTTCGCGACCTTCAGGTGTTTTGGGCGTAGAGGTGATGAGATGAGAGATTAGGTCCGGCTTCGCATCTCTGACCTAAAGGAGGGTGTTAGCAATGGCTTCGATTGAGATGTAGGACAGGAATATGTACCTGCATGCGCGCTTTCATCTGGCTGACGCTCCAGTCTCGCCATTCCTTCATGGGTCCGGCAAATGAGGTAAGAACACCAACTGTGTTCATTAGCCACGGCATCAGATACATGTATCCCAAAGCCTGGACGCTGCCCATCATAGTAGCGAGAATACTCGCAGCGACGTCGCTTTGTTCGCCTTTGATGAAGCCCATGGGCTTGCCAAAGGCCAGCGCTGCCATGACGTCGTAGCTATAGTAGCTTGCATAGACAAGCAGCGGAATCGACCTCCCCTCTTCATTGCGCAATCTTGTGAGTAGCTGGTCTGTGAAGTTCTCGACTTGGGGCGCGTAGTCGGAAAGCGATGCCTTCATCGCATTGTCCCAGATCCTGCGGCGCTGGCGGTGGAACGCCTTGTCGCGATTGAGGTGCAACGACTTTTCCATGACGTCAAAGAACGGTCCTTTTGACGTCTGTGACTGGGCTCCGAGGATTGGTTGGATCGCAGCTGTATCGAAAATCGTGAGCTCACGTGGCCCTGACGGTGTTAGCACTGGATGTGGAAGGAAGTACACGGGTTGGACAGACCCGTCCTAACATAATCGCCGTATTGGCCTTGCAGCCGCTGAAGGACTCGATGGTAATGCAAGCTGCTGTCATATGTCTGCTTGACGGCCCACCATCTCGATAGTTTCGCAGCCCAAGGTCCAGGGTATTCGTTGAGTGGGTGAAAGAAGGCACGGTACGCTCCGATGTACAGCCATAGTGGAACCCAGAAGGAACTCGTCACCAGTGTCGCGGCGATGAATCCAGTGTAATATGATAGAACCCAGTATGCGGTAATCGCTAGGCCAAGGATCTGAAGGGTCAAATGGTCGACTTCCACTCGTCGCAAAATGAACTCGTGCAGGATGACCGCCGATAAAGGTGCGAGCACAAAAACAGCGGTAGGAACCGAGCCCATGGTTTCTTGTGGATGGCACCGGGATCTTGTTTGGGGTTGCTAAAGTTCAGTGTATAGAGTGCTAGGGCGCGGTGGCCGAGGGCTGTTTCTCGGTTGCTATCAAGTGAAGGCGACCGCCGCATACCACAACCCCTTGAATAAGGGAGCCCTGGGAGTCAGTATCGCACCGTTGTGATTTCAGTGTGTGTTGTTTTGATCGGGAGTACAAAACGTGGAAGGTTTGCATGTGCGACGCGTTTGCTCGGAAGCCCAGAGTCACACGTGGAGACTGGTACGAGAACGCGATCGGCAGCCCCGGGTTATGAAGTGGGACATGGCCAGGTCTCTGTTCATCCTTCTTACCGTAGATTGCGACTGCAGCTGGTGCTCCGCAACAGGAATCTTGCCGCATAGTAATTAGTGTGCAAGGGTCAGCATTGGATTACTAGGTTTTGTTGCACACTATCGTACATAGCCGACTAGCGTCTCGGTGCGAACTCACGTCTAGTTAGTCTTCCAACGTGTCGATATCGTGGAGTTCTCTAGCGGACCAAAGCCGTTTAGTCGTCTGCGAAAGGAAGCATGTGGTGTAGCCTCAATTCTCCGAGCGCCGCATTATTGGATGCGGTTGCGCCGTAACGCGACGTGTGTGACTTTGGTGCGTAGATCAGACTTGGTGCTGCTGAGTGGCGCTTATCCTGTTCAAAGACGGCCTGGAAAAATGTAAGCATGTACATAAGTGTCTGCTAGGCGAGGTGGCGGCAGGGCTGCATTCGCTTAGAGCGCATAGGCTGAATGGGAGAACAGGACATGGTTCCTCATTCCATGATTTCATGAATATCTTATCTGGTATTCGATTCGAGCCTCCAACCGTGCAATTTCGGGAGATGCGCATATCCATGAGCGTTGCCGAGAATGCGCCAGCATCTTACGGTTTCACTGTTGAACGGCAAGGTTGTACGGAAAGGATCTTGCGTGTACCCCCGTCTTAAGATCGCTGGCACCTGGCAAGGTAACTCAGGCTGCGTGTAAGATAAGTTCGATGCATGTCCGGGAGAAAACCCAAGGTCCTAGCGATCACGCCTTCCCTTCAAAGTTCCGACTCCTTCTGCGAATCCAAGAAATTCTCCGGCTTTGATGACCGCAATTACGACCATGTCGGGCGTTCTGTCTGCGCCACCTGGCGTTGAGGCAGACTTCAGTGGTGAACGGTCGGATCTTCAGAAGAGAATCGTCGTGGTATATGCAGTCATGACGATACTTTCCACCTTCGTGCTCGGATTGCGATTGTATACGCGCATATTCATCCGTCGTATGACCGGCTTGGACGATGCGCTGGTGGTGCTCAGCTGGTGCGGCTGCGTCGCATGGATGGTCATATGTTTCCGAAGTGAGCCTGCCCCTATGCTTACTCTGAGTACGCAACTGACCTCGAATGTAGCGTTCCAGTATGGCTTCGGTCAACATATGTGGAATGTGACTATGCAGCAAATGTTGGGCTATACGAAGATGCTCGTCGGTATCATGGTGGTGTATGTCTGGACTCCAGCTCTAGCTAAACTCTCGTTATTAGCTCTGTACTACCGACTCAATCCAGATCAGAAAGTCCAAGCAGCCATCTACGCATTGGCAATCCTGGTCACTGGATACTCCGTGGCCATCACCATAGTCGCCGCCGGACCCTGCAATCCGCGGACCCATACAGACCAGAAGTGCCTTGCAGACCTCAACCTGTTCATGGCTTGTATAAACATAATCACAGACTTCTTGATCCTGTGCCTGCCGATACCGATGTTGCGCGCCCTGCAACTACCTGTTAAACAAAAGATATTACTGGGCTTCGTGTTCGCTCTGGGATCTGGGTAAGTTGCCTCGAATAATGCGTCATCTGGCGTTCTGTGCTAACAGTCTTTGTAGTGTCGTCGTCATATCAACCGTTCGCATCATCTACGTTTACAGTATGATTAGCGATCCCGACGCAACTTACAACGTGGCCAAGGCATGCATCTTCTCCACGGTCGAGCTCAACGGCGGAGTCATTTGCGCATGCGTTGCGCTACTGAAGCCTTTCATACAGAAGTACATGCCCTGGATACTGGCCCTTTCGAGTGGAAGCGGAAGCGGAGATGGATCCAGGATTCGCAAGTTGAAGATGTTCGTGAAACGGAGCGGGGAGAAGAGTTATGAGCTACAAAGTGCAGACGCAGATACAGATGCGACTAAGCATGCTGATGATAGGCCAGATCATCGTATTGCCGTCACCAAGTCATACAGCGTTCAAGGCTCGAAGACGGGGAAAGGCGATGGTGACAGCATGGAAGACCTTTTCGCGCCGAATGCGGGCTGGAATGGTGGTCGGTAGCTGTCGTCCGTAGAATCGGTCGGGAATGTGATCGCGAGGACGTGTAAGGAGGTTGAAGGGATTGCTTCGAACGGGAGTTCCTGATGATCACGCCGTCGCGGGCTTGGCACAAGCCCGATGGAAGGGACCACCCGTAGAAGGACCAGTACCTAGATAGCTGCAATACGACACCGGTGTTCAATCTTGGTCTCGAAGGTAGCTGGGGGTATCACGAATGCGCATTGAAAGAAGTGGATACTGATAACGACGTCGCTCTAACCCATCTGCATCTTCTCATCGTTCTGACGTGGCTCGCTCGAAGAAATGGAAAGCCCCTCCATAGCGACCTTAGCCATATACTCATCCACCATCAACTTGATATTACGATATTGAGTGCTGTTTGGGCCGAATGTCGCGAGCGCATTGCGGAGGGAGGATTGGAGCTAGCCTGAGTTAATGGTGCATCCACGCTCCATTGCCGACAACATTGGAAGTTCTGACACGATGGAAAGAGTGCGACAACATACCGACAGAAGCAGGTCGTCGGGTTGAGTAGGCATGGTACCTGATGGGTAAAGTCGACGCTGCTTTTGCTTGACAGCCGATCTTTGTGGTTGTGTAGAGTCCTTATGCGGGATGTCGCGGTCTGCTGGAGAGAAGGCGTGCGCTCGGAAGGCGGTTGTAGTACTGTAGGAGATAGTCCAGGTGAGCAAACCTTGAGGGTGTGATGAGGAATGGGAAGATTTGGCGTAAGCGAGTGATTATAGATCGCTGGGAGCTGAGATTCGTTCGCAGGCTCAGAGCAAAAGAGGACAGAAGATCTCGCACTCTACCACTTTCAAAGCATTCTGTGCGATTGATGAGATCCGTATCTGCGTTGCGCATCTGCTGTGTAGACTCGCCAGCGCAAGCCACGAGTTAGCTTCCACCTTTAGCTTCTGACATGAGCAAAAAGGTAAGCCCACATCATGCACATAGGCAAAAAGATTGGGCAGTTAGAAGTGCTGACAAGAGTGGGATTCGAACCCACGCCCGTGAAGACTGCGGAGGATGTTTAGAACGACCTAAACGCAGCGCCTTAGACCACTATTTTGATGTTAGTACTGCGATTCCCAAGGAGTGGAAGTAACGTACCTCGGCCATCTTGCCATTTAATAACTTCATGGAAAGTAGAACATTTTGTGCAATAATATACGTGGCAATCATCATGGTGGAGCTGCACTAAGAATAGGCGACGCACAGGCGAAGCCTTTATTCGCAAGGTTAAGATACCCCACTCTAGACTGCAAACTAAGCGAGTAGATTCTATATGCAAATTTATAAAAACAGAATATTTATTAATATAATTATAGGCTTCTAATTAGCACTCTTAACGTATTGTAGACTAAGGTTATTTAAGCAGGGTAATAATTAAAGTGCGGCTTCTGCGCCCTGCTTATTTATCTAGACTAGGTTAAGACTACCTATAGACGTTGCCGCATTCTCTAAATTTAAACTCTTTATCTTATTCTAATTATATAAGAACTAATTTCGAGAATTTCTACGCATATAATTCTATATTCTAAATAGTTTTAACGCTAGACTTAGGTTTATTCTAAGAGTTTATTATTTAATTAAGAGTTATAGAAAGAGCTTAGAGACTATAAAGCAATATCTTACTACGTAGATTACCTTTATTCTAAGTATAATATACCTTCTTTTAATCTTAATTCTAATCTATTTTTCTTTAATCTAGCTATAATATCTTATACCTCTTATTTATTATAGTAGCTATAATATACTACTTTTAATTATTCTATTTCTAGTTACTATTTATACTTTATCTCTTTTTTCTTCTCTTTCTTATACTAGTAAGTATACTTTTAGAGGTTTCTTAAGCTTTGTATACTATAGGTATCTAAACACGTCTTAATAATTAGAACATTTCTATATTATAGGCGCCTAGAATTAGAATATAACATACGCTCTAAGTACTATTAAATAGATATAGCTATATAATAGCGCTTATCTATTAATACTTATAGTATAAAGTAGTATTTATCTAATAATAATTATAGTATAATAAAAGTAAACTTAAAGAATAAGTACTTAATATTAAAAGGCGTACTATACGTACGTATAGCTTTTTAAAAAAATACTTAGCTAGTATAAACTTTAAAATAAAAGTAGTAAGAGTTACTATAAAGAGGTTTAGCGTATTTAGTTATATTATTATACTTATTACGTACTTAAAAATTTTATACTAGTAACTCTTAAGCTTTACTACGCTATAAGCTTTAACTACTTATAATAATTATTTTAATATAACTTAGTATAAAAAAAAAGTAAAAAAGTACTAATAATTTAAAGTAAAGAAGTATTACGTTTTTTTTTTTAAAGTATCTGCGTAATAAGGCCTTATATAATACTAATAACAACCTAAAACTAGTAGTAGCGTCTAGCTTTGTGCAGACGGCGCATGCACTAACCCGAGCATTTCCCGTGGCTACGAGCCCCCTGAGCGATACCGAGACATCTGGCGTGGCTACAGTCAAGTCCGAAGAGGAGGAGGAAGAGAAGGATGAATATGAGCATGAAGTCAGCACCAAGGGGGCGGCGGTACAGCCATTCAAAGAACGGTGCACGTGGGTCTGCCCTTACAAGGCAAGCAAGCAGTGTAGCCACTCGCCAGGGTACTTCCCAACCCTTAAGGGGGTCTCACAACATGTCAGATTAGCGCATCCAGATATTGGGCTAGTAACGCCCTACGAGGTCGACCCCACCGCGGATGGCACACGGAAGATACCATGTCGCAAGGGTTGTGGCGAAATGTTTGTCACTCACCAGAAAGCAGTGCAACATGCGAAGGTAAGTTGTGGCTGTGAGAAATGCATGTGAGACATATACTGACTTCATATCTTCACCTCTGTAGTTGCCAGAATGCACTGCAACCCCAGGGAAGAGTTTTCCTTGCCCCTGGAAAACGCACATCGGATGCGACAAGGAGTTCGACACATCTACAAGCTTAGCAAACCACTCGCGTCGCCACGCAAAAGATACTCGCAGCCCGTACCAATGTAAAAACGATGAATGCGGTATATTTCATGCCGACCTCTACGACCTAGCTATGCACGAGGAACGATGCAAGAAAGGCCCACTATCTAATCGCGAAACCTCATACCGCTTCTCGTTAACCGCTGACGCTGCCAATGGCGCCCCTCCAAGTGTCATCATCATCAACCGATCTTCCAAGGCTCCGCCGCAGTGCTGGAAAGACGGTACAACCTCAATCAAAGAAGGGCTTCCGCAGCTTGGAAGAAAGTACCTTGCACACTATGCCTCGTGGAGGAGTAGCTATTCTGGTGGATCTGCAGTACTGCACAGTTGCTACGAGGCTGTTACGCGATACATTCCAGCGCCTGCGTTCGACAACAGCTTTCTCGGAGAGACACCCAGGCAAAAGGTCTTGCTCCACAGGGCCTTTAGGTTCACACAAGCTATCGTCCACGACATTGAAGCGGCCAATCAAGCTGGGATTAAGCCTACTATAATCTCAGTCGGCGCCGATGGTTGGTTCTGTAGCCAGAAAGCTATTCTTCCGTGGCTACAAGCTACTAGATTGAGCTTCGACTTTGTCGTACGACTCAGCTGCCTGCCTTTAGGCATAAGCGCCCAGCACGCCGATCTTCACTACAAAGTATGGTGGATTTTGTACGACGTGAAGCATATTCGCATGGCTCTTGAGTCTGGGCCTGGTCAAGATCAAAATGAGAAAGCTGACGAGCTGATTGCGGCCTGGAAGATGCTACAGGATAGCAAAGACACCTCCTTCGGTAGGAAGTACGGCCGAAATTACGTTGATCCGAACCTCGAATTCCCGCTGATCGAATGAGCCAGCCACGCCACGCCACTCCTCATGTTCATTGCCATTTATCTGCTTCTTTTCCGCGACATACTGCCATTTAGATCCCACATACTGTGGCTACATCCTCTCTATTTCCTACACGTCTGTCCTATATCATGTATCGATTTCCTGTGGCTACTGCATTCTTTATATAGCGACCAGATTCGGAGCATCTCTGTACTTTATTCCTGTAACATAGTATGAGATTGAGGCCGGGAAGGGAGGCGAGATAGTGACTTTACTCCCAACCAAGCCCGAGGTTTATTCGTAGCTCATCAATCCCAGTTCAGGTTATTGATGACTCTCCGTATGTGTTGCGCTCCTAACGCCTCGCAGCCCGCCGAACTATCGCATTCAGGTCTCCCGGCATGTAACTGCCTCATCTCATCGCTCCAGGAATGGTTGCCATTATGCCAAGTCTCTTGCCTCGCTTCGCTCTCCTTCACCAAGTCCAACAGTGGTCGTGGGTTGCTCCCTCCGCCATAGATCTCCGTCTTGAGTGCAGTCTTGACTAGCCTCCTCCAATCCTTCGCCTCAATCTCAATGTTGAACCCCATCGGGCAGTCGAGGGTACCGGTATGCAGATGTTGCAAAGCCTGGCTGTTGTCGCCGATACGAAATGGTTTCTTCTGTCCAGTCTCTTCCATGCGCGCGGCTTCGCGATCGACCTCATTCAACACCTTGTTGAAGCGCTCTACTACTGCCTTCATCACAGAAACTATCGACTGTACATTCTGGATCGCAGAATATGATTCTTTTGGACATTGCTTACAATGTATCAGATCCGAGAGCGCTGACATTGCTTTTCGTAAGGGTATGATAACTTGGGGAAAGTGAAAGATAACGACAGCTTGTAACTCGGTGAGAGTTAGCCATGTAGTTGTAAGACACATGCACTGTTCTGAACCTGATTGATCGGAAACTGGGTCGGGAAGACTAATTGGCTGCATGTCCGGTGGCAGGTCAGGCTCGAAACTCCACAGTGCTGGATCCAGGGGCGGGTCCAGATTGTACCTGCAACAACTTTAGCATTGGTCGAGACCTATCAAGATAGCTTGACATACATGTTATCAGACCCAGATGCCGTCCCAGACGGATCTTGAAAGGTAAAGTCGTAATGCTGTGGCGTCACGATTCCGCATCCTGCCGATCCATCTGACGATTGCACGTCTTGCAGAAGTGAGGGGGAAGTCAGACTATCCAGATCTAACAAATTCGGAACACCAGAGAAGTCGTTCCAGACGTTGCTGAAGTCGTCTTGCACTACCGCAGGTAATCCCGTTATCTCGTCCGGTTCGTCCTCTCTCATTCTTTTTCTGGGGCGACCCATCTGCTTTTGCGGCGAATAACTACAATCAATCTTTTCTCTCTCGCAACGAACACATCTTGGAGTGTGGCCAGAGCATTTCAACTTTCGTGTCCCTGGGCATAGTTGAGCGTCGCGCGGGGCAGATGGAAGCCTAGCTTGAGGTACTCACGGCACTCGTCGCAAGCCGCATGTAGTTTTGCCGCTGGTTGCTTATGCTGCTGCACCATTGTAGTGTTGGGTCACGGAGATGCTGAGACCAAAGAAGCAATAGCGCTGAAAGTGGAGATGTCGAACCCAGTATCAGAGTGATGTTGTGGTTCAGCATGGGATCGGTGATCGTACTCCGAGGACGCCTAAATTCGCCAGCTCTGTATGCACATCCCCATGAAGAATGGCTGCGCAGACTAGCCCCACCTTGATGACGGATAACGTGTTGGATTGTCGAATATCGACACATGGGGTTCGGGGTCCTTGTCTCCACGCATGTTAGGTAAGCTGTTTGATGGTCGACTATTCCAATCTGAAACATAGCTATCCGCGGCCGCATAGGGCCGATTTGATTGTGCGTAACCTTGGAAAATTCGCAGTGACAGGCGGGTCACATGTGAGTTGTCAATGGTAGAACCAAACACAACAAAACCCGTCAACTCTGGAGGAGAAGCAGGTGCGAGCGCTAGCCACCGAAGTGAGGCTACGTGTGACAGGATTCACGCCGAGCCGCGCTCATTGTCCAATGCCATGCTGTGCTGGACCTTTTGCAGCAGGTCGGAGGCTGAGTACGGCTCCGAATATCGATGGGACTGTGCGAGCCACCCTGCGACCCAGCGCGCTGGATGTGGCAGACAACCTTACTGTTTCACACATTCTACACCGCTCTTGACGTGGTATCTTGGACCTTTCCCAGAGCCTACGCGCAATCGCGCAACTGCGCAGAAAATGTTAGTGAAGACACCAATATCGCCAATCAATCTGAGAACAGAGGCGCATACCGCGCGCATCTGCCAATCTACGATTGATGGAAAGGGCGCAGCTGCTCCGCCTTCTTTTTCCATCTCGCCCGTCTTGGGTTGGCTCTTCGTAAGCACCTCCACCGGTTGGAATACAGAGTGCAGCTGACCGGGGTACCCCATGTCCGATGGCGCGCGCCCTATTGTAGAGGCGCACAAAAGCTGATGCCTGATTGCTAGTGGTTGCGACTCTGGGGGACGGTACTGTTACCATGGTCGCGAAGTTGGACGAGTTTTTTCTGTGGGTAGACGAGCGACCCAAAGTTCTCCAGCCGTCAGGAACAGACGCGATTGTACCTGGGATGCCATGGATAGGCCGCGCAACAGCATCCAAGGGTGTAATCGTGCGCGCTCTGTCGCGAACGTGATGCCTGGTTAGCCGCATCGGGCCCTAGGGCTGATGGAAGATGGCGCCGGTGGGAGAAGTCATTGGTTGGGAGCCACCGACACTGCTGCACCTTTTGTGAGTCACAGCAGTCGGCCCTTTCTGGCGCCGCGCTCGCTTCGGGTTACTTTTAATCCCCCACTTCCCTCGCTGCCTGAATTTCTCCTTCCTATTCACCTCACCATACTACACCACGAAACAATACACAAGACAGTCACGAACAATGGCTGCCTTTTAACTTCCCCCGCATCTCGCCGTCCGCTAACCGCCGACATATCTATACCCACTATCCCCACTTCAACTCAACCCTCAGAGTCTTCCTTCCCGGAACCTCTGAACTCAAGTCTCGCCTCGCGCAACTTCAGTTCGCCGTCTTCCCTCCCGTTCGACTTCACGTCGACCATCACGGCTTCTCAACAGTCATCATGGCTTTCTTCACCAGCTCCCCACGCCTCCCGGCAACCACAACATACGAGTCAACAAGCATTCGCCCATCCGCAGTCGGACTTCGTGCTCTACGATCAACCTCAGGTCTCCCAGCGGCCTCTGCGAGCACCGAGCGCGCCTCAGCCTGGGCATACGTTTAACAACGGCCAGCACTTCTACGCAAATTCTGCCCCGTCATCTACTACAGAATTCCAACAGCCACGGTTACGCCAACGTCCTCCGGTTCCACTGTTCCCCAGCTCTAGCAACAACATTCCTCAACTGCACAACGTCTCAAACATGGCAGGTACGACGCACGCTTTCCCCGCTCTCGATCGCGAGCTCACGTTCCCCGCAGACTTGAACAGCAACAACTCCTTCGACTCGGGCGCAAGCCTGATGTCCAACTTCAACAACGGAGGCTTTTCTATGGACCAGGTGTCCGCATTCACGGCGATCAACGATCCTTCCGTTGCCGCCGGGTCTACGCGCACCGTGTCCCCCAAGGACATCTTCAATGATGGCTTTGGGTCTGCACCCCCTTCTACGGCGTTCACAAACTTAACTTCCCCTGATATCGGTGATTCCCCCTTCATCAACGATAGCTTCGAGTGCTCCCCGATGTTCAACGGCGAGCCTGTTATTTCCGACACGAGCGACTGGTTCTCCCTGTTCCCCGAGCAGGAGACCAAGATTCCTGATACTGTCTATGCACCTGCTGTCTCCATGCCCATGGACCGCACTATCAGCAGCCAGTCTATGGAGCGATCTGGTTCTTCAAGCACCGGCTCGCCCCTCGTTCTGGACAAGTACTCTCGACGCCAGTCATCTGTCACCAACTCACCTGCAACAAACGGCATCAGCAAGTCTCGTCGGCGCAAGGGTCCTCTGCCCAGCATCACCGTCGACCCTAGCGACAAGATCGCTCTGAAGCGCGCACGCAATACCCTTGCTGCTCGTGAGTCGCGACAACGGAAGTTTGACCATGTCAGCACCCTCGAGGCTCGCAACTCTGAGCTCGAAGCTGAGGTCGAAAAGTGGAAGAGCATTGCTATGGCTCATGGATACAGCGGACAATGAATGTCCTCGTCTCTCTCATATGGTTCCCGGTGGTCGTAAGGAGCTGGTGAAGAAACCAGCCTTGCCTTTCGGCAAAAGTTTTCCTATCCGTGTTGTTTCCCGCGGTATTTCCTTTCGCTTCTGTCGCCTCCCCGTCACTGGATGGGTGGTGTTTTCGCGCTTCTGTCCTTATGTTTCATCGCCGGTGTGCAGTCTCCCCCTTGTGGTTTTCGATTGACTCCGCCTGGTGCAGGTGGTAATGTGGTGTTGTTCGTTTCTGATGCACTCATAGTTGCGGAGAGCTTTCGTGCTGAAGTCTCCGGGATAGTCTCCTTATATATACATTTACACGATTCACGAATGACTCTTTGCCGCAGTGACTCTTGTGATGTTGTATGACTCAGCCTTGGCCAACTCAGACTGTGGCGATAGTGACTGTTGCCTATGACTCCCACTAACGCATGCAGATTAGAGTTGTACTCAAAATCGGTTACCAGTGCTGTGATTCTGACTATTTGAAGTCGTGCATAAAGCCTTAGCCTCAGTCGCCCACAAACTCAACCACTTGGTATCCGCCCTTTTCCCGAATGCTAGCTGCTTGCATGCTAGTTTCCATATCGCATGACCATCCCCGGCTTTGTAGCCACGTCAAGACTGCCTAGATCCACAGCGGATCTACGTCAACATCCTCAACTTCACCACCTCCAGCCTTGCCTGCAGCCCCGCCTTCTTTGTGTGCTTCCTTGCGCAGCTCGACAACGCTACCCACTGGCTTGCGTCCCGTAACGAGCATCGAGATGTGGTAGAGTAGGTCGTCAGGGCCTAAGACTTTGAGGTTCTTGCCCTCTACGGCCTTGTCGTCTGCTGGTAGGAGCTCGTCGTTGTACAGGACGAAGTCGCCTAAGACGTGGCTACCTGCCTCGTCATCCTCGTCCCCTTGATCTTTCGGACCCCAAACCTCAAGGTCCAGCTGGGTGAGCAGGTTGGGTAGATTCTTCAGAATCATGCTTGAGTCCTGCTTGCTGTTGAACGTGTCCTTCGTCAAGAGAGTTATGTGACGAATCCATGGGCTAGGTTGACCCCGGCGCTTCACACGCCCAACCTCCTGAGCCCTGATTGATTCGTTCGGCGGGGGTTCGTATTCGATAGTAGTACGGCACATTGTCTGCATATTCAAACCCGAGCAAGACACCAGATAGGAGCAGATGAGTACCGCTACTAAGTGAGGGTCGTTGTTGAAGTCATTCAAGATTTTATCTTGCTCGGTCTGACTCAGATCGGTGCGGAGTTGGAACGCGGAGAATTTAAGGAGCAGTAGGACCTGTAGCCACGTATTAGCCTCTGTCTACCACACAGTTGCAACGAACAAAGCTTACCTGTTGGAGCCATTCGGCCTGAGCCGGATTGCTCACCCAAATCAAGACCTTTTCCTGCCTAAGCACCACAATTTCGGCGAGGATTCCCAAAAGCTTCCTCAGTTTAGGCGCTCCCTGGCAATGCCAATGAAGAATCTGCTGGACGTCTGCTTCGATGTGTGTGTGCTTGTCGACCGGAATTTGCTGATCAATGGGCACACGCAGGCGCTTTTGGCCTGAGCGCATATCTTTGAGTATGGTGAGAGCCGTCATCTTTTTCTTGCGCTTAGCGGCCAACTTTGCGGCTTTGTAGCTGTCGTCAAGGAGGTATTTGAACCCAAGCCACGAGCTCAGTAGGCATAGCTTTCTGTAAGTCGTGGTGTTCCACTCCACGTTCTTCTTCGAAGCTGTCTTTGCGAAGAGCGTCTCTGAGGTCTTCGCTACCGCTGCATCGTAAAATGCTCGTTCGGCTGCATTGAACTCACAGTCGTACACCAAACGCTGCACAGCGGGAAGAGCGGCTCGCAGGGGTACACCGTTGATCTCGGAGGAATGAGTGCGGCGGAGCATAATCTTCCTTAGGACTTGTGACATCTTGGATCCCTGCTCAGCCATTGTAGGCGATACTATGGGGTTGAAGATGTACTTTACCATGGCCTCCTGACAGTACTTGAGAGGGGCACGCCGATCATCATCCGCCACAGTGTAGGGGTTGAACTTTATTAGAATTGAGTCGAGCGGGCAAGTGCCACCCATAGCGAAGACTGGGCTGGCTGGTTTGGCGAAGTCAGCATCGACGAAGCCGAGGGAGCGGAGGTAGTTCTCGTCTTGTAGAGCTGGGTTCTGGAGGAACTCCATCAACCCACAATACTCTTTTAGACCGTTGAACGTAGGGGTACCTGTTAGTATGTGTCTATACGTGGCGCCAAGATGGTTGATAGCCCATCCAATCTCGTCCGATTGAAGGCGAATTTGGTGACCCTCGTCGAGTATAATCCTGTGGATCATACCATACATCTGATGGGGGCAATTGACATCAATGCTCTTGTAGGAAACGCCTTCCGACGTCAGTTCTGCAGCGGCCTCTTTCTTGCTGATCCTTCGCTCTTTCGCGCGCTTGTCAACCAGCCAGTTCCATTGTACCTTTGGGCCGTGGCGAACAGCCCAGGTAGAGTAGCTGGTCAGGATGATGGTATCCGCATTGCACTCCTCACCGTTGAAAATGTCGTGGCTACGGGTGAGCCTGGCGGCCTTGCCTTTACCTTTGAGGTAGTAGACGTTGGGGTTCGCCGACTTCTTGGAAGGGCCGTAGTACACAAGGATTCTGAAGCGCTCTGTGAACTTGCAGATTTCCTCGAGCCACTGGGCAATCAGGTTTTGCGGCATAATGATTAGCGTTGGGCGCGCTTCGGGTACCTCCTCGCCATCTGCAAGCTTCTTCCGGCGTTCGTTCGAGCGGAATAGTAAGAGCCCGAGTGTTTCGAGGGTCTTTCCAAGGCCGCAATCTTCTGCGCATAGACCTCCATTTACACAGCCTTCTTCGAAGTCGACCATAGCGTTGATGCCGGTGGGTTGGTGAGCATCTAGGAAAATGTGCTTCATGAAACCTTCCATTCTTGGCTTCTCAGGGTTTGGGATACCCAGCCTGTCGCAGGCTTCCTCGTGATTCTGCCGTTGATACGCTGGGTTGTCTGTCCACTTCGTCTGTTCTCGGTAGGCTTGAATTTCCTCGGCAGTAATGGTCCTCAGCTTCGTCAGAGGTGGACCTCCGATTTCTGTGTTGTCGTTCCCTTCATTCAGCTCTTGATTGAGAGTGCTGAGTGTGGTCCCATTGATCGATTCTATCATGTCGTGAGAGTACTAAGCACAGTTAGTTAGAGATGGGTGATGATAATTTTCGTGGCTACAGCTTACCTGAAGTGCCTGTACGGCCTCTGATGCTTCAGCTTCCTGGACCTCGTTGCCTCCAAGAATGAGGACCATGTTGTGCAGGTCGACGCTATGTTGCTCTTTGCTCTCCACAAGCGACAGATTGTATCTCCAAAGGCGGCACTTGAGGTCTATTTCTGTAGCCTCAAGGCTTACAGCTTCCTCTACCATAATGGTGTACAGTTCTTGTCGGTTTTCGGCTGTTGGGGCTTCGGGTACACCTTCGGGGGCGGGCACCTCCTGCGGCCCAACTTCTTCGTGCTCTTCTTTGAGGACGATGTCCTCGGTTTCTAGCGAGAACCTCACCACCACATCGTCCTGCGCTGCATGGTTTTGCGCATCCTCGAAAGACATTCCTTTCGTGGCTACAAGAGCCTTGCGCCGCTGCTTGTGGGTACTTAGATCGAAACGTCGGTTTATCTCTTGCCAGAAGCCGTCCAAGCTGTAGCCACAGAATGACTCAACGACAGTTGTGGTGGTGGCGGCGTTGGATGGCAGATCGGAAGGCTGACCTTTGGTCCACTTAACGACAGCCATACCAAGCTGTGGATCAGGCTGCTCAGCGTCGGGCTCAGCGTCGGGCTCAGCGTCGGACTCAGCGTCGGACTGATCTGATTGAGGTTTGGCGGATCGTGCGGCGCTTGTCTTTGACTTCTTCTTCTGCGATTTAGTGGTGGTCTTGGATCCTCTGGCGCGCTCTCGCTTCGCAAACAAAACATAATGGTATGCTGTTTGGGTCAACGTCTTGTTCTCCAAGCGCGAGCCGTAGAAACACCCTTCACGATCGACCTTGTTTTCTTTAACAAGCCAGTGTGTCAGCCAGGCATGCCAATCAATCTCATCCTCGTACTCGGGGAAACGTGACTCCTTGTCAAACCTCCTGCAGAGGTAGGGGTACGAAGTCAGTATATGTCTCACATGCACTTCGTACAGTCAGAACTTACCTGCGACCGTTTTTCTCTCCTTCTCTGATCCAGGCATACAGATTGTCGAAGTCGGCGACTTTCTTTCCAGGCCTGAAGAGGTCGGTGTTGAGAAACTTGCTGACAAAGATATCCCAATACGGCTTAACAAACGATGATTGCCGCCATTCCTCGAATGCTGCCTCCGTGTCAAAGCAACCGAAAGAGGCGATGACCTTGCTCTTGTCCTCGTATGGCCTGCGCTTACGCTGTCGCTTCTTAGAAGAGGAGGAGCCGCCTCTCGCCATTCTAGCTAGTCCTGGCTGTGAGCTTGCAGGAGATGCCCAGGTGTGCGGTGGCTACTTGTGAGGAAGCACTGCTCGATGTGCGCGAAGTTGCCCAGGTGTGCGGTGGCTACTTGTGAGGAAGCACTGCTCGATGTGCGCGAAGTTGCCCAGGTGTGCGGTGGCTACCTGTGTGAGGAAGGTGTCGTTGAACGGTAGTCAGCTACCTGTGAGGAAGGTGTCGTTGAAGAGTAGTCACTGCTCGCGCGAAGATTTGCGGTGGCTGCCTGCGGTAAAAGCGGTCTGTGCCCTGCAAACGAGGCAGTGTTTGCACCACAACACTGCGATGACGTAGCCGTGTAGAGCTTCGAGCCAGCTTCACCGTGAGTTAATCTTTCCCGGGCGGTGGCCGCCGATTTATCACGCTCTGTTACTATATGAAACGTCTCACGTGATTCAAGAAAACCTTGGAAGTACTGAACACTGTGGAGCCTACTTTGATGTCAGGCTACCTTATTTGGATGTTTACGTATTGATGTAGGCTCTAGGGTGTTCAGAATATTCCTTGAATGCGCAGCTTCGGATAGCCTGTGTCATGGCGTTGGAGAATTGCTTGAGTACCTAACGATAGGTATCGTCGGCTTTGGGAACTGTGACTTGCATTTCTTCCGGAAGACCCTTACGGATCTGGGTTGCTCACAGATCTCTCAGAATTCGGCGAGCATCGCCATTCTTTTCACGGAACTCATTTAGTTTCTTAATCTTGTAGTCTAGCTAATAAGCGAATCTAAGCTATGACGTTAATAGGCATAGTTTTCGGTATGTCGTGGTGCTCCAGGTGACAGCGGATCCGCTCTTGCGAAAGAGAACAGACGAACTATCCGCATACGCTGCGTCGTATTGTTGACGTTCCTGAGGGCTATACTCGCATTCGAACACCATGCGTTGGACGCTTGGCAGATCTTTGTCGAGTCTTCTTCCGTTCAGTGTGGATGCGTAGCTTCTCCGGACCATGAGACCCTTGAAAGCATTGATGATGCGAGCGCCTTGTTCCGTGCTGGTGATACCCTTACGCTTCTTGGGGAAGGCCCAAACATTGAGAGCCTCCTGGCTGAACTTGAGAATAGCTATTGGATCGGTGGCTGTGATGTCCGTGATCTCGGAGAGCGGCGGGCCTGCGGGCATGTCTGGATCGTCGTCATGGTCGATCTCTGAGTCTCTGGGGTTGCGATCGGATAGTAAGTTGCTGAGTTCGTTGAGTTGATGGGTGTACTGTGGTAGGTTAGCAAAGGTGAAGTCAAAGGTGAGAGAAGCTACCGTTAAACTTACTCTGATAGCTTGCTCGGCATGTCTCCCTTCATGCCCTCTCTCACCTATGTTCAGAGTGATGTGCTTGACCGGAACGTCTCGGAGGCTCTTGGACTCAGACTTCATCAAGTGATAATTCCACAGGCTGACTTTCATATCGAACTTGTTGGCGTGTTTATCCGAAGCCTCTGACACTAAGGTTCTATTCACGATAATAATAGAAGCGGGCTGACGCGACTCTGCTGCTGTGGTCAAAGGGAAGCGGTAGCTGGTACTGCTCTTGCATAGATCAAACGACGAGGTTCTTCAATACCTCGTCGAAAGCCTCCCAGTTTCAAAGTACGGTGACGGAGACATTCATGTTTTGTGTTTCGTACGTAACGCCAGAAAGCACCCTGGAGGTACTCGCTGATATTCCCGTTGATGCGCTCATGTCAACATGGAGTATGTATACGCCTGGAGTACACACGAAGGCGCAGACAAAAAGGAACAGACTCTTTGTATCTGCCTAGGTGTCTCCCCAAGAAAACTGTTGTCATACGCAGGTGCTGGGATATATCGCGTAACAGCCTTATAATAGCTGTGCATTGCTGTGGATTTGTCAGAGTAGCTCTCTAAACGTCTGTTATACTAAGCGAAGTTTTATACCGCGTGGCAGCGTCGTAGCAGCTTTAGGCTTCCCCTCCACGGGTCCGCTCAGCCATATACAAGCATTATACCAGCGGATTAGTAGTTAGGTAGGGCACTAGATAGAGATACCTAAGCTCATCACATCCCCCAAAGGAATGGCAAGCTGGGACAGCAAGCATCCATGATGGCTTGCCAATCGTCGGAAGGGCAATCCTTGCGCATCACGTCGCCAGGGCCGCGTCACCACCTACCAACATATCGGCTGTACTACACAGCTGCTCAAACTGCTCAACAAGACAGCTCCCGTCACTAGGAATAAACAAGAGTATGTCCCAGGACAATCTACATCAGCGCCTTGCCTTCCATCGAGCTTTCAAGTTTACTATGGCCATCACAGGCGACATACAGGCAGCGAATGAGGCCGGCATCAAGCCTGTGTTGATCTCCGTGGGTCTGGATGGCTGGGCCTGCGACGTGAGGATGCTTTTGCCGTAGCTACAGACCTCAGCACTCCAGTTCGAGTTAGTAATCCACCTCCAAAAGCTTCAGTACGGCATGACGAATCGCTTCTCCGAGGTACATGGTGACATTTACTGGTGGACATACCAAACTCAATCAATTCTGGAGGCCCTGGAGAGAAGCTCTGGCCGACGAGCTTATGGCAGCATGGAAGCTCCTCCAATCCGGAAAGGACGTCTCCTTCGGCGTGACATGCGGCCGAAACTTCGTCAACACAGCCTCGCGTTTTCCGACCAAGGGCAGACTTCATTAGCGCCTCTCATTCCACCGGGCCTTCAAGTTCAGTGTGCGCGGCCGCCCCACATGCAAAAAAAAAAATTCATCAACAAAGAACTGCAAAAACATACAACAGCGGGGATTCGCTAGTGGTCACCCACCTAACTACTAATCCGCCGGTACAATGCTTGTATATGGCTGAGCGGACGGGAAGCCTAATTCTCATTGTCCTATGGTCGTATGTGAAGGAATTGGCATTTCTAAAGCTCATATTGTGAGTGCAACGACGAGCACTTGTCACAGGCGATCGCGAGGAACTCCTTCCAATCATATGGTCGTATGTGGAAGGACAGGTGGGTGGTGGTGTATATGACAGAGTATTCGAGTCCTTGTAGGCGTCGGGATTTCAATGGTAAAGTGGTACCTGAGATTGTGCCTCCTCACTCACCATAGTAGTCTATAGAGCATGAACAAAGCTAATTTGAGAATAGCTACAAGGAATGTAATGATGCAAAGCCGTCCTGCCCCTGCCGTGATCTCTACCTCTATACCATCTATATGTATCCCCCTCTTGCCTAACAACCACCACCCCAACGACCCTCTAACACTGCACCCCAAACTTCCTTAGAGTCTCCTTACCCGTCGTAATCTTCATACCAATCCTACCCACAAGTTAGCGTCCAACACATCACACATCGCAGAAACCATCGACATACCTAGCATCCAAATCAAACCCACCCATCTTCGTAACCTCATCCAACCAATCCTTACACTGCACCAGCATCTGCGGATTCTTCTCCGGATGCCCATCCGCATCAGCCTCGCGCCAGATATTCGCGGCCATCTCGTAGCGCGCACAAGGCGCAGTCCAGTTATCTTTGAAGTTACCTGTGATGAGTAGTTTGTCAACAGGCAACGCTTCTTTCTCTAGGATGGCCTTGGCTTCAGCTGTTTGGTCCATGTTACGGAGGGTAGCAGCGCGCAAGACGTGGAGAATAGATTTCTCGTCGACGCCCTCCTTGTCCCAGTGTGGGTTGGCTGGTGATTCGCTCCAGGCCAGGTTGGCCAGGGAGACTTGGAGGTGGTCGTCTCGCATGCGCTTGTATCCGTTCCAGAAGTAGATCATTTCCTCGAGTGGAGAGACGCCGACGGCGTCGACGATGTCGCAGTTCCATTCCTTGGCGCGTGCTTCCCATTTTTGGATCTTGCGTGCGACGAAGATGTCGAAGGGGAGTTGGCGGGCCATGAACTTCTTCTTTCCGACGTTTGGCATGACTTTCTTCATGTACTCCTCTGCCTTGGTACCGTATTCCTTCGCTTTGGTCGGGTCGGTCGTCTTATGCTTTCGGTAGAGTTCGACGTATGAGGCGGCGATGATGTGGTAGTACAGCGCGTGGGACCAGTTGTTGAGGCCAATGCACTTCTCGAAAGCGAAAGCGGTAGCTTCGTAGTCGTGCATGTACATGTTGTTCAAACTGCGTTCAAACCACGTGAGCGCTTCAAGCTGTTTTAGCTTTGACTCGCCCACTTCGTGCATGAACTGAACAGCCTCTTCCAACTTCTTCTCGGAGGCGAGCATCCTGGACTCCTCAAGTAGCCAGAGATGACTCTTGGGGTACCTTGCGCGCATGTAGCGGAGCAAAGCCAGACACCGTTCCTTTGGGTATGCTCCCTCGCCCTTCGTAGGAAGTATATCGCAGAAGTTGGTGAAGCCATTGATATATCCCATCAGAACAACTCCAGCCATGGCACCGTGAATGTTGTGGAATTTAGTCGCTTGCCACAACATTCGCATTCCTCTCTCCCTATCGCCCTTGAAGCCAACGATCTTCAGCAATCCAGCAAAAGACGGCGGGATGAACGAGAGAATGAGTAACAACATGCCGAAACAAAAGTTGGATCCGGAGAGGATGAAGACATCGACTGGGTGGTTACTGAACGACGCGATGTCTGCATCGGCATCCCCCTCATCGTTCAAGGTAAGCTTCTCGAAGTATTCGATAGCGTCTGGTAGCGAGTTGGATGGGTTTTCGTTCGTGATAGGAAGCCCTGGTGCCGAACTTGCCGCGACATCCACCTTCTTTTGAGCATTGTCTAGCTCGACAGTAGCACCCTTGCCAGCGGCGACGTTCAGATGCCCCATGTATTCCACAGGCGTTTCACCACCGGTGTGATCTTCTGGAGCGTCCACGAAGTCGACGTCGTCATCATCGTCCTCTGTGGCCTTCTTCGCGGCCGGTCCAGTCACTGTAGTTGTCTGCTTCAGACTAGAAGTCGACGCTGCAGCGGACGGCCCGCTAGACGTAGGACCCTGAGAGCTCTTCAGAGCATTGCTTGCCCCATTTGATCGAACCGAGCCCTTGGAAGAGGGGCGCGATCCCACCGAGTTGACGCTACTCGTGCTCCTCTCTGCCAGAAACTTTTTCTCATTCTCCATCACACCCTCCAGCGCAAGGTATGCTTTTCTTAATTTGTAGAAACTCTTGATGGCCTCCGTCAAGCTCTCGTTGAGCACACCGACAACGGCACTCATCAGCTGTGCCTCTGCCTGACATACCGCGTACTCGGTGCCTGGAGGGTATATAGGCGATTTATACGCGTTCGGATCTTTGCTAACACGGCGTTGGTGTTCGTAAGCGGAGTTCTCGGCCACTGATAGGGCATTGGCAGCTGTCGACCATGTCAGTCACTGCATCTCCTTGACATCATGTTGAATATGCGATCAGACCTTCGCGTACGATTTCCGGCTCGAAACCCAACGTCGCCCGTATGAAGACACACACACCCGCTCCGAGCTACACGATATAAGACTAGAACCGAAGTATGGGCCCGAGGGCTAGAAGGTAGGTGTGTACCTGGTGGAATGGACTGGATCCTTTGCTAAGGTGTGCTTCGGCGCTTTCGATATCATCGGCCATGATATAGGTGACGGCTGTGCTCGCGTGTGATTAGACTTGTCTGCGCCACTGTATTGGGTGGAGTTCGTACCGCTCATGGCATCCTCAACTGTGTTGTATTAGTACCTGCCTGACCTATGCATGCTTTTGAACTTACTCTGTGCCATTTCGCTCAAGGAATCTAAGCTCTTCGAATGCCCAGGCGTATGGCCCTTGAGCCAACCGCCGACTTTGAACATGCTGGATAAATAATCCCGCGCCGCGGAAAGACTGGTCGAAAAAAGGTTAACCAGAAGAGGCCGAGAAAGAGAGACACGAGAAAGATCGAATGAAGAGATGTAGTAAGTATATTCAAATCTCAGCGTGAAGCGGATACGCCAGCTAAGACACTGAGCGCGTGTCTAGACACCTACTAAAGCCCACCAGACGGGCGGTGCTTACAGCTTCGTCCGGCTACTCGGAGCTAAAGTACGTGTACGTCATGTTCATTATCCGTACTTTACCCTCCAATGCACTCCAGGTTTGGCTTGAAAAGAGTAGATGAGGTACGAGGGCGATAATAGAACACCGCCATGCATCACATGGAACTTTCTCGGAGCCAAGCTGCAACCTCGACGGACTCGTACCCCGCGAACCCAGTTGCCAGGTGCACCACGTGACGTCGCGCTAAGCCTTGCGGACAATCGCCGCCGCCGCTCCTCCGCTGTTAGAGCCGCATCACCAAAGCTCACCAAAGCCACAACACTGCGCAATCACAACTCGACTCACCCAGCCGTACCACAATACATCGCCGATCGCATCTCCCGAAACCGCCGCAATGTCCGGCTCAGCACAAGGCAGCAGCGATATGAAGAAGGCCGTCGTCAGCGACTCCAAGAACGGCGAGCAACCACTGGCGCCCGAGAAGAAGCCCGCAACACAGCTAGAGGAGGATGACGAGTTTGAGGACTTTCCTGTAGAGGGTACGTTGGAATGGTTGAAGGGGGATGCATCAAGCTAACATGTCTGCAGACTGGACTGAGGAAGAGACACAGATCCCCAACGGCAATACACATCTCTGGGAAGAGAGCTGGGACGATGATGACACGAATGACGACTTTGCGGTTCAGCTGAGGTAGGACACTTATCTACTGGAAATGTATAGGTGCTAACAATAACCAGGGAGGAGCTTAAGAAGCTGGGCAAATGAGCGATACCTATAGTCGACACGAACGAGACGCGATTCGAACGGAAGACATGACGACTCTTCGAACGAATAAGGATATGGCAAGCTCGAGACACATGCATGGTTGAGAAAGTGAGCCCAAAGACTCCACGCATCACGTCCATAGGCCACGAGGTGGAATGCGGTATCTTTATTGAACCGAAAAGAGCTATAGCTACAATCATAACTTCGAAGATATACCTTCCCTCATCTTGAGCTGCCGTTCACTTCTATGAGTGACTGGTTTACTTACTTGACAGTGCGGATACACCGGGCAGGTCCTTGCCCTCGAGCAGCTCGAGCGACGCACCACCACCAGTCGAGACGTGGGACAGCTTGTCTTCTACGCCGTACTTGGCAGCCACAGTAGCTGTGTCACCACCACCGATGATGACAATCTTGCCGCTCTGCGCAGCATCAACAGCAGCATCGAGTGTCGCCTTTGTGCCCTTGGCGAACTTCTCAAACTCGAATACACCGGCGGGACCGTTCCAGAGGATGGTTTGCGCCTCGCCAATGGCCTCCTTGTACAGCTTGATGGACTTGTCACCACAGTCGAGACCCATCCAGCCATCTGGAATGCCGTCTTTGTCCTCAGCGTAGCCAGTGTTGGCATCCTTGTCGAACTTGTCGGCGGTGATGTAGTCAACGGGCAGGACAATCTTGACGTTGTTCTTCTTTGCCTTCTCAACAAGGTCCTTGACGGTCTTGCTGCCGGCCTCGTCGAACAAGCTGTCGCCGATCTTGACGCCCTCGAGCGTCTTCTTGAAGGTGAATGACATGCCTCCGCAGATGATGAGGCTGTTGACCTTACCGAGCAGGTTGTCGATCAGCTGAATCTTGTCGGAGACCTTGGCACCACCGAGGATGGCGAGGAAAGGGCGCTTGGGCTCCTCGAGCGCTTGCGCAAAGTAGTCGAGCTCCTTCTTGACAAGGAAACCAGATGCCTTTTGTGGGAGGTCGACGCCGACCATGGAGCTGTGTGCGCGGTGGGCAGTGCCAAAGGCATCGTCTGTAACCCGTCAGTATGCTACTTGTACAAATCGCCGAAGACACTCACTGATGTAAATGTCACCAAGAGCAGTCAGGCCCTTCCTGAACTCCTCAACCTTGCTCTTGTCAACCTTCTGCTTCTTGCCCTCGTCATCCTTGTAGCTGCCCTCCTCCTCGGCATGGAAGCGCAGGTTCTCCAGTAGGATGACCTGGCCGCCGCTAGCACCGTTAACGGTGTCCTCGACCGACTTGCCGACGCAGTCGTCTGTGAAGGTCACGCTCTTGCCGAGGAGCTTCTCGAGTTCGGGAACAACCGGCTTGAGACTGTACTTTGCGTTTGGCTTTCCGTCTGGGCGGCCGAGATGCGACATGAGGATGACGGTCTTGGCACCATGGTCGACAGCGTGCTTGATTGTGGGGAGAGCGCCGACTATGCGCTGGTTGTTGGTGATGTTCTTGTCGGAGTCGAGAGGGACGTTGAAGTCGACCTGGTGTGTCGCGGTTAGATTTGTATTCGTGCTTCACACATAAGTCCTGGATATACTCACTCGGATGAGGACGCGCTTGCCCTTGAGGTCGACGTCGGCGATTGACAGCTTGTTAGAGAGAGACATGGTGGGTGTATAGTAGTACTGTGATGGTGTGAGTTTAATGAAGTCTTAGATGTATCAACCAAAGCATACAGCTGCCAGCTATATACCTCAGGTAAAGGTCCACTTACGTCAATGAGTTGGAGAAAGGAAGAAGCGTGGGAGGCGTTCAATGTTTGTTGTCGAGCTTCAGATCGTCATGGGCAGGCTTGGTGGGGTGTAGCGGGGCAATCCACGGGTTCTCCTGCATGCAAAGCTTCGCGCTCCTTATCGAACCACAAAAAAGCAAGTTGACGTGACCGGACTAGAGAAATTAGCTGAGGTAAAACACATTTTGCTGCCCGCGCGTCTTGGGGCTTGACAAAGTGGGCAGCCAAGGTCGACATCCCCCGCGGCCGAGAGTACTCAGTGGTGTTGGGGTATCGTTGCAACGCGTCTTGCATGATCTCTCCACATGAAGAGACTTGGTAAAACACACAATCCAAGCATACACGCAAGGCGAACAATATTTGTGCATGATGATAGTTTCATTCTGTATCAAATTCAAGACTGTACATAACACATCGACCGTATCAAAGTCAACTAACCTGACGCCGTGCAAATGCCCAACCAAACATGCTAACGCGCGAGACGCTCAAGGGGAATCACCCGATGCCACCATGACCCGAACTTATGTGTACGTATGATATTTAAACATGGGAATTCGTTCGCATAATTTGATAGGCTTAGGCTTCGTCGGCCGAGTTCGTCAAAGAGAGGTAAGCTGTCCAAGCAATACCCACGGTAGATACAAATGGCTGGCATATGTTAGTCGCTGGACTTACAACCTGAAGCAAAGAACTTACAATCTGGAATTGGATGGGCATAACTCGGAAGTTGATGAGCTGCACAGCCGGCCAGACCATGTAGTTGGCCTTGAGCGCAGGCACGTATACGTCCTGGAACTTGCGCTGCACAGCACGCTTACCACCACCCTCGGCAACAGTCATGAAGGTGAAAAAGGCAGCCAGACCAGCTGGGGCGAACAGGAACTGATCAAACGCCACGCGCTTGAGTGCTGGCAACCATGTCGCAGTCTTTGAAACGGGGAAAGTCCTGGACAGGAAGCCGAACCACCTGTGCTGGATCGGCGACATGAGGAAACCGTAGGACATGAATCTCGTGGTTCGCTCGAAATCAAAAGGCGGGGGGAGTATCTTCGAGTCGGGGATAAGGTCGTTCTCGTTGAACGGGTTCCGTCTGTCGAGCTCGTGGATTTCGATCGCCAGGAAGTCGTCCTTGCCTGGGCCGCCCTTCTTGCGTACTGCGCGCTCCCGCACGGCGGTGAGCGTCTGGGCTACTGTGTCTGCGATACCACCCAATACCTGCACATGGTGTTAGCCTCCCTATTTCGTCATGTCTGAGATATGTCGGGTTCGGCGCAGAGGTCGCAATATGCGGTGTGGCGGTCGCGCGACATGCCACTCGATGCGCATGGCGTTTATAGCAAGGGGAAACGTACGGCGTTGGTGATCATCGTGGTGAGAACTGGACGCGCCGCATAGTACTGGTTGTACTTGCGCGTGAGCATGCTGACGGCCGCCATTTGGAGCAGGAATACTATTGAATGCAGCAGCGGCTGGAAATAATTAGTCGACCATCAAATAGTATCAGGGCGGGTGGCTCACAATCTTCCCGTAAATCCAGCGGCTGTTTAGCTGGTAAAGCAGTCTGTGTCTGGTGCTGTTCATGTTTAGTATGGGTCCTGTGAAAAGCTCTAGGTGTAGCGTTGCTCGAAGATCGCGATGACGTTGATGAAACGTAGCCGCAGGCCCGTGTGCGGCTATAAGTGGTCCTATCTGTTGCGGCTCAAAAGCGCGATAAGGAAATAGGGCAGGCGACAATACTATCGTGATTAAGAGCGGTTTGTGGTAGGAAGTGTAGCAGAGGCATGCGATGCGCAGCCGCAGCCCAGGGTTCAGTGCGGAGGTGCTGCAACAGTGGCGAGAGTTTCACGCCGGGACCAATGACGAGTTTCAGACATCAAGCGACGGCTGGCATCAGCCTAGTTCCGCGCGCCTATGGCTCGTAATATCGAGCTATGTCCAAGACGTAAGGTTGGGAGCCCGGATGTCTAGCACTTTGTCGTGGACCAAATCCGGTGGTGGCATCTGTGCTCCACTCTGCTGAGCGCCTGCTGAGCTCCACAGTGTGTCTCGGCGTCACAAGCACGACCCGTCCATGGTCTACTACAAGTAACGGCGCAACATAAAAAGGGGGACACTATCTGCATCGCACGCTTCATTGACTAAAGATAGTCTAAGCTACGGGAGGTATTGCGAGCTCACGAGGCTACAGCAACAATACTTGGCAAATCATGAATATCGACAGCTTCGTTGCTGACCAGATCGACTACTCGTATCGATTCCACGAACAATACTCCTGCCGAAAGCGCAAGAAACTTGAGGTCGGCCGTGTAGCAGGAGCCGGGTGAGAGTTGCCTGAGCACGTTAGCCATTCGTTCTGTGAGCTTCTGCTTACTCCGACTTACCCGAGCCGTATGTCGGTTGTCAAGCAGACAAAGTCCGCTGTATCGGTCCTCGCACTCTTTTGCTTAGCGTACACGACATTTTCGTCAACGACCGCCGTCCCAAACAACTCTTTCTTGTCCGCTCGAGGTCCGCCTACCGAAGAGACGGATGGGTGTGATTTGTGCTTCCCTGAGTCTCTCGGTCTTTTCGCGATGACCAGAACTGCCAGCCTTCGCGTTTTGTCCGATCGGTTGACTATAAACACATCCCACGTGAAGATCTCGCCAACCTTGACACTGGGCGGCCCAGACACTGTCAGAGTGACATTGACGTCGTTGTTTGAAGCATCCTGTTCGGGTGGATCTTGGGCATCTTGAGTGACAAGGGCGTCGGGATTGGCTGCGTTCGCGTTCTGTGTTGTAGAGCTACTCGGCCGACTAGTCTTGGCCAAGCTGAGCGCCTGTTCTGACGGAAAGTCAACGGGTGTCTTCCACTCGATAGCAATGTCTGGGTGGCAATGATCGGACATTGTAACATTGGCCTCCACATTCAAGGTCAAGTAGTGACCCTTACTCCCGAGTGCTGGTGTTCCATCGGTACCGATATCAGGCCGTATCTTGTATAGAAACGTCAGCTGGTCACCAGGTTTGTGGCTCGTCGTGGTATCTAGCTCGTCGTTCAACTCTTGAACCCTGCCTCCATGCAGACCAAGGCTGACCTTCTTGATTCTGACGTCGTAGGTAGCGAATTGGGCGACTTCCAGATCCAGAGAGGCCATCAAAGACAAGTCGCTTATTGATGCCTGAATCCTCGAATAACGTATCCTCCATATCAAAGGCGGCAGCACACGAAATAGTGGTCTTTGTCCGTTTCGAATCGGTCGGGCCATTTC